GCATACAATACAATATAGGTACGTGTAGGTATATAGCTCCGTTCATTACTTTTTTTTAAGTCTACGTGACCAACTACTTTGTGTAAAATAAATATTACACGGTTTGTATTAAAAGGACACTCCAGAACTTGGAATAGTTTGTTTTTAATGCTGATACCATGTCTCTGAATAAACTTAAAACGAAACAGTACATTATTCTGCCTATAACAATGTTCGTCCTAAACAGAATTGGTAACAAGGTCAAAAATAAAAGAATAATTAAAAATATATATACATAAAGTTTCTTACTAGCATACTAATAAAGAAGTTGAGCAATTTAAAATGATAAAGTAATTAATGTGTGAACCAGTTTTAAAAGTATATTTTCAAAATTCTAAGGACATATTAGGTATACATTCAATAAATATAGAGGTTTTTCAGTATAAAAAGTTAAATCTCCATATGCTTCTTTCATGAAATTAGTTCCTTTTACTACCACCTCTCTTTTTCAAAATTGCTTACACACACCACTCTAACGAACATAACTACTAACTATCGTTGTGATATTAGATAATCAATATAACGAAGATAACTATTGTTGTTGTGATATTAGATAATCAATATAACGAAGATAACTATTGTTGTTGTGATACTAGATAATCAATATAACGAAGATAACTATTGTTGTTGTGATACTAGATAATCAATATAACGAAGATAACTATTGTTGTTGTGATATTAGATAATCAATATAACGAAGATAACTATTGTTGTTGTGATACAAGATAATCAATATAACGAAGATAACTATTGTTGTTGTGATATTAAGATAATCAATATAATGAAGATAACTATTGTTGTTGTGATACTAGATAATCAATATAACGAAGATAACTATTAATTGTTGTTGTGATATTAGATAATCAATATAACGAAGATAACTATTAATTGTTGTTGTAATATTAGACGATCAATATAACGAAGATTACTACTAACTGTCTTTGTGATATCAGATAATCAATCTGACGAAGATAACTAAATGTCGTTCCGACGTTAGATAATACAACGAAGATAACTTCTAACTGCTGTTGTGACGTTAGATAATATAACGAAGATAACTTCTAACTACTGTTGTGACGTTAGATAATATAACGAAGATAACTTCTAACTGTTTTTAGTAGCGTTAGATAATATAAGGAAGATAACTTCTAACTGTTGTTGTGACGTTAGATAATATAACGAAGATAACTTCTAACTGTTTTTAGTAGCGTTAGATAATATAACGAAGATAACTTCTAACTGTTGTTGTGACGTTAGATAATATAACGAAGATAACTTCTAACTGCTGTTGTGACGTTAGATAATATAACGAAGATAACTTCTAACTGTTTTAGTAGCGTTAGATAATATAACGAAGATAACTTCTAACTGTTGTTGTGACGTTAGATAATATAACGAAGATAACTTCTAACTGTTGTTGTGACGTTAGATAATATAACGAAGATAACTTCTAACTGTTGTTGTGACTATAGATAATATAACGAAGATAGCTTCTAACTGTTGTTGTGATATTAGATAATCAATATAACGAAGATAACTATTAATTGTTGTTGTAATATTAGACGATCAATATAACGAAGATAACTACTAACTGTCTTTGTGATATCAGATAATCAATCTGACGAAGATAACTAAATGTCGTTCCGACGTTAGATAATACAACGAAGATAACTTCTAACTGCTGTTGTGACGTTAGATAATATAACGAAGATAACTTCTAACTGTTTTTAGTAGCGTTAGATAATATAACGAAGATAACTTCTAACTGTTGTTGTGACGTTAGATTACACTCTTACTTCATGAGAACGCATCTGCTTCAAATTTCACAAACACGCAGTTTTATCGAGCAGTTTTTGTTTAGTTTTTTGTAATCGTATACACAAATACCAATTATCAATCATCAAATAAAGAAGTGCCTCTCTAAGTTGATTGAGTAGAAACAATAAAGGCTATGCTTTACTCCTCTTTAATCTCCTCTAAACCTCCAGCGTTCATAGCTTTTCTTATTTTTTCGGTATGTTTTGAAAATGGCTGCTTTATCACAGAAATTACTATCCTTCTTTCTATTTGAATGGTTATTGTTTGTTTACGTTATATTAGGTTAACTGTAGTCACTGTTAAATTCAAAAATACTTAATATGTCTTGTTTCCCAGGCTTCACTGAATCCAGCTTTCGGTAAAAAGAAAGAGTGTAAATACGTGAATGATTCTTCAGTGTAGGTAAAAAGGCTTAGCCATAGCAACACACGTTTCTCAGACAAGATTGATTAGTACAGCCACTTTATTTGTCAGATACTTACAATAATTGTTAAGTAAACAACATCTTAATTAACGATACGATTATCTGTTTTATTATTCTATCTTAAACTTAAAAAATATTCATTTTTTACAGCACTAGTTTTTCCAGGAAAATTTAAGCTTCTCTGATAACATAACTATATCTAAAGTTTTTTTTACATGTTGATATAAAATCGAACCGAAATGTTTACATAATTGTCTTGTTTTTTAGATGCAAGTAATTTTCTTGTAATACGTATGTTAGTTAAGATCGTATCATATTCTGAAATTACTCCCCCCGCTGGGAAAGCGATAAGCCTTCGGATTTACAACGCTGAAATCAGCGGTTCGATTCCCTTCGGTGGATACAGCAGA